GATGTGTACAATCATTCGGAGCCAAGGAAAGTGTTTCCCAAGATACCCATTTTTGTTATGTTTATTGATAATATGATAGAATTGCATGCTAGTTGTAAGCTAGGGGACTTCAGGAATTGCATGATAGAATTGTCTGATTTATGATGCATGATAGCCTAGGAGAATTTATTTTTATGCTATATGGAACTGGCATTATTACTATGGTTGCTTAGTGTATGCATCATAGTTGTAAATAACTAAGATTTTATAGCATGTGAATGTTTGATTTAACCATATTTCATGTTCCTTGTCTGGTTGTGGGCTTAGGGTAGAATCAAGTATCTGATTGTCTATCGAATCTAGTGTTATGTATGATTAGCATACACGAGCGGCTGCAGGTTTATTGGAAGTTTCATGAGTGAGTATGGTTTGTAGTATGCCAGCATGAGGAATGATTATCCACTCTCGAGAGAGTAAGTATAGGATGTGTGTGTATCCTAGGAAGTGCTTTAGTGCGATTGGTGCAATGTTTAGCGGGTTTTGGGAGTATCAGCATGAGTAATTACTTAGAGGATCCGAAACGATTCTTGAGGAAAGTGCGGATATGTGCGGAAGGTAGTATTGGGCCCGTACTACTGAAAGAACAGGATCCATACTCGAATCGAGGAAACTTTCGAGGATTCTAAGGGGCTGATTGAGGGTAGATTACATTGTTTGGCACCATGATTCACTGCAATATGTTTTCGTCTTATTTGGTTTATCAGTTAAGGTTTTGCAGGCTGAGGATGGGCCTGGTGATTGCTTGGGCCTTAGTGGCCATGTCGGTTTAGGTTTGAATGGTGCAGACCTAAGTGAGTTAGTTGATTTTGAGGTCTCAAGGGCCTTGCTCGAGGTAGTTTCATTTGAGTCGCAAGACTCAAGAATGAAGCGATTGTGATGATCGGCTCGAGGATTGCAGCCGGAGGCTGAGTGATTGGCAGATGGATTGGAATGTCACTAGCTACGACGGAGGTTATGTTCTTCCAACCTTCCATGTTCGGAGGAAAGAGAGAGCAGACATGAGATTTTCAGTGTTGGGGTGTAGACCCATCATGGAGCTAGATAGTTGCGGTTTTTGGCGGCAAGTATGGCAGTGTGGGAATGCACAAGAAGATTCTTATGGTATGGTTGCCTTGAGATGAGATCAAGGGTCTGCTTTCTTTGAGTTTAGTTAAGTCAGGTGTTAATTAATTGTTTTAATTGATCAAGGGATGTGAAATGGGAATGAAAGCTTTTTTTTGTCTATGATGTATCCTGACTAAGAGATGATGCTTCTTGTATCTATGGATAATGCTCGCGATGAAATGTTTGTTGGTCTTGGTTCGGTTTTAGGAAGTTTGGGTTGGATGTTATGATGTTGAGGTAGTTGATGGGCTTCTGTCTAGTGGTTCAGGTGAGTTTTCCTCACTGTACTCGTAGGTCGAAGGCACCAATGACGACCTACTAGGTTATGTATCCTGGTATATAGGATGATGCTATGATGGTTGTATATTAGATTGGTAGATCTGTATGATCAGTACATGTACTTGATGGTTATTGATTATTGTTGCATATGTCGACATGTTATTATTTTTTTGGGTTGAGGCGGTCCTGCTTTGTGCTCAAGGCCAAGATACCCAGGTGGTCCAGTTGATACTATAGGACCAAGGGAGCGGTCCAGCTTATGTTATAGGCTCGGGAGCAATCTAGCTTGTAGCTGAAGGCTCGGTGGCGGTCCAGCCTTGTGTTGTAGGTCTGGTTGTGTGTATTATGTATATGTTGATGTGTGGGGTACTTTGGGGGAACTCACTAAGCTTTGGCTTACACCTTAACTTTTTGGTTTCAGGGTACTTCAGAGGGTAGGGACAAGCGAAGGCTTGATTGTGCACATCATCCCGGATATTTACTTGACCTATGATTTTGGGATACTCTGATTTATAATTTTATGGCTTTTGGAAAGTATGTTTTGTATGATTTATAGATTTTGATATGGTTTTAAAAATGAAAATTTTATCATGATTTTTAGGACGTTATAGCTAAGTAAGCTCAACTCTCAGCTTTGGAAATTTTGTTTGGGTCTGTGGTTCTTTTGCAACACTTGGATCGGTGGATTTGGATATAACCAGTGGGGTGGATTTCAAAGTAAGTGACATGAAAAATTATATTGATAATCTTTTATTGACAAATGGTAGTACCCAAACTAAATGAAATTCCTTACTTCCAAAAATAAGGTGAAGATTTTTATGTGAAGAGCATGAAATTCCTTACTTCCAAAAAAAAGGTGAAGATTTTTATGTGAAGAGCATGTTTGGATAGACTAACCAGAAAGGAGAATAATTTGGCTAGAGGAATTGATCTTTCGCTTTATTTTGGTAGTTACATTGAGGAGGTGGATCATATTTTCTTGACATACGATGTTACCAAGGCTATTGTGAAGATGATTGGGAGATGGTGTGATATTAACATGTCTTTGATTCATATGGTTCGTGACATGTCTTCTTGATTAGAATCGAGTTCTTTGACTGCTACAAAGAGGATGGTGTGTAGTGGATGCAATTATTTCAACTACTTGGTGGAGCATTTAGAAATTTAGTAATCTTTTTCTTTTTTTGATAGACCGGTAAGTGATAGGGTTTTTGATAGTATTGTTGTGTGCTCTTTTAATTGGATTGTGTATAGAAAACACAAACTTCGTATAGAATGGATTTGGTGGCTCCAAAATCTAATTTTATTTTTGCATATGTAATTATGAAACTTCATCCAATTAAAAAAAATTAAAAAGTAATACAATGATTAGGTTTATACTTTTAGATCTCTCAATTGTCAATAATAATATGGTTTCAATTCACATAGCTTAAACATGTGTCAAGATTAAGGTCATATTCATGACAAAAGACAAGATATATCACTTGTTTTCTAATTAACGCCGTATCATAAAAACTCTTTTTCTTTATTTTTATCTAGTTTCTTTTTATGGCCAACTAACTTTACGACATTAGAACTCACTGACAAGAATATATAGGTACAATGAACATTTTCCTTTTCGGTTTCAACAATTGAATGATTATTTGAACTAACTACTCTCAGTTCAAGATCTTTAATCCAACCTTCGTTACAAAAAGAAAAAGACATGAATAAATCATTTCTACTTTGAACCAAGCTTAATACATACACAAGGTCGGTCAATTGATTTTAAAAACTAGCAAAAGAGAAACTAAATACTCACCCATCCCTATGACCAGTCAAAGCCATGATTCGTTTTTTTAAAGAAACTAAATACTCAAAAGCCGTATACTATTTGTATAGTATATTAAGTTATTCTTGATGAATCATTTTAAGCATTCCTTTTAGAATATGGTTAAAAATGGTTTGACAAATTATGGGCAAAAAGTTGGGTTCTTTTTAATGTGGGACTTTTATCAATAAATAATGGTTTAGAAGCTTTCTTTTTTGTCCTTGTTGTTTCACTTTATGTTGATAACTTCATGTGAAATCGCTTCTCTTTCTTATTTATTAAGAGTCCACATTGTTAGGTTTTGATGCCCAACTTTCTCACATTCTTCTATTAATTATATATACATACACATGCTTGCTTTACAACTCACATTCAATACTATTTTATGTTGCCTCTAGAATTGGCAAAACATTCGAGATACTATGATTTGAAATATACGTCACCTCCTTTATAAGCTGCGGTTTACCTCATACTTTATAGGTTTATAGGAGTATTGTTTACCTCTTTTTACATGATAAAATCATATCATATCAATAACGTATTTGAAAGTCCTCATTTTGGTAGCTTTCTTTAAAAATTTTAAGGCAAAAGACTAAAGGAGAATTAAACTCGCGACTCATGAACTCCGTGATGAGGGGACCAGAAAGTCACGTCCCAAATTCCAATGATGTGACTACTTCCAATGATTTACAAATAATATCAATAATGGATTGAAAAAGTAGAAGTCTTAACTTATCGATACATCAAAATTCTACCAATAAAAAATCTTAACTTAATTCAAACTAAATACCTACATAGTTTTAATTTAAACTTGAAAGGAAATCCTTAAACATTCGACAAAAATATAATCTCCTAAAAGTCACTAATTATTTTCCTTGCCTTTCAAGCTTGATGTTATAGAATATTAGCACATATTGACAAATACGTACATAATAATAACCAATTATTTGTATGTGAGTTCATGGTTTTCTATTTATGAAAAGTATGGGGGCCGTTGTCTTAAAAGTGTTTATTTCGTGTTAGTGTATATTGTATTTTTATAGTCAGCCCATTATTGATATCGGCCCAAGGCCATTGTATCATAAGTTGTATTTATACACATGTAGAGCTAGGTTCATTTGTTTAAACTAAGTATTGTGTTATTGTATGCATAAATGTAGATCAATCAAAATTAAATAAATAATTAAATAATTAAATAAATAAATAAGGGTAATTTAGTAATTTGTTTAGTAACTTCCAAAATTAATCCCTATAATCATGGTAGACTTTTAACCTAATATCTCCTGTTTAAATCTCGTTCCCCTTTTTTATCTAAAACACCGATCTAATCTCTCCTGTTTAAATCTCGTTGCACTCTTTTATCTAAACGCCGATCTGCAAAGGAAAAGGGATGCGAGTAGCAGCAGGTGGGGTGAGATCAGAAGAGAGAGCGATGGGTGAGACCAGAAGAGGGTCCGACGATAGGTGGGGCTTCGGTGGCATTGGCTCGACGGAAGAAGAAGAGGTGGGTGCGGGTTCTTTTAGGCCTGCTTCTATCTCTCTTATTCTCCCGCGTTTTAGTATTTTGTGAAGAAGCGTGATTGAATCGTTTCGTTGCAGATCAATGCTTCCGACCTCCGATTCTGATTTGAACTCCCGATCGAGCCTAGAACATGAACGCTAGTACTTCGATTTCAATTCGTACGACCGATTTCCAATTGCGAATTTAGGAAATTCCTAGAACTCCAATCGATTTCAACTTACAGGATTGAAATCCAACTTCAATTTCATGAACAGCTTCAATTCTTGCTTTATGAATGATATCAGTTTTCGCTTGTGTATCTTGAGGCGAGAGACGAACTTTGGCATCTTGATTTGGCAGGTTCGTTTCAAATCTAGTCAATTGATTATGGAGCGAAAGTGAATATCAGGTTCGTTCCTTCGCTGGTTCGTTCCTTCGCTGGAAGTAACATTTTTAACAGAGGTAATAATTAATAATTAATTAAATATACAAATGCAAAATAGTTTTTTTTAATAAAAAAAGTTCAATTTATGTTCAGATTGAACTGCTGTCAAGACTCCATCACTGCCATGTGGTGCCATTACTTGGGTACTGTTTAGAATACCAATACCACACAAAACAGCCTGAAATGCTTTTGGTGTTTGAATACATGCCAAATGGCAACCTGAGACAGTGTCTGGATGGGGTTTCAGAAAAATGTCTAGACTGGGGGGCCCGCATTGCAGTAGCCATTGGAGCTGCTAGAGGGTTGGAATATCTTCATGAAGCAGCTGCACCAAGAATCTTGCATAGAGATGTTAAATCCACTAACATTCTATTGGATGAAAACTGGAGAGCAAAGGTGGGAATTGGGAATAATAATTTTTAATATCACATTTGTGAATGTTATTAAGTTTTGATTTTGTTGGTAGATTACTGATCTGGGAATGGCTAAGAGTTTGGTGAAATGATTAACATACGGTATATATCACTTCAATGAACAGAAAAATCCAGCAGGAGTATAGAAGCTCATAGGTGGTCAACAGTTGATCTTGACCACCCTCAGATCATAAACATACAGAACTATAGGTATCCTTAACTCATAATTATTCCCCCTTTTTTACTTTCGACTTATGATTTTTAATAATTACTTACTTATTTTCGATCCTTGAATTCTTGAACCAGCATTTTTTCAGCTACATGGAACGTAGGAGGAAAATCCCCTTCCAACAAAAAATGAATCTTGGTGAGATTCCAATTCTTTTGGAATGGAATCACGAATTCCAATTCTGTTGGAATGGAATCATGAATTCTAATTCTGTTGGAATGGACAGTTCTGTTGGAATCACAGAAGTTGATGCTTGAAGAACGGACCACAAAATTGAAACGGACCACATTATTCTTTTAGAATGTATTAGTCGTTGTTAGATTTTGATGTTTTCTTTCCCGTTTTGATTGTTTTTTTAGTTTATTCTTTAATAATAAATGTAATTATTAACAATTTTTACCCGTATTCTATAAGAAATAATGTATTTTTTGTTTTTATTCTTCTATTGATTGTTCAATAATTTGTTATTCTACAAGAAGTTTTTAAATTCATGATCAAGAAATAGATTGAAGAATATTTTTATTATTTATGGTTCAAGAATATTTTTATTTTTGAATATACTCATAAACATATTCTGTCAGAATGTCCGAATTAAAAGAATTATAATTCGAAAAATCGGATTTTTAAAATTAATAGAATCTATGATCCCTTAAAAAATGCAATTTTCCTTTATTAAGTTTATATTAATTGACTAAATTACCCTTGTAATTAATTAAGATGATATTTTTCAATTATATTTAATTCAATAATATATATTAATCACTTTCTTAAAATATGTAAATTTGATTGGCTCACATTTATGCATACAATAACACAATAGATACTCTAAACAAAATAACCTAAGCCTACACATGTAAATGTAATAGTGATTGGAGATCAACTAGAATTTGAATAATTATCATGATAAGCCCAAGGCCCTTGTATCATAAGGTTGTATTTATATACGTGTAATTAGGCTTGCACAAAAAAACCGATTCAGGATCTGAACCGGTAAAGCGGTTCACCATGAACCGGTCTACTATAAACCGAACCGATTCAAGAACCGAACCGCCAGTTTGCACCCGTTCGAGATTTTAGACATTGAAACCGGTTTAGAACCGGTTTAATAACCGTGAACCGGTTTAGAACCGGTAGTCAAACCGATCAAACCGGTTTAGAACCGATTGAACCGGTGTAACCGGTTTAGATATGTTCAATTTTTTCTATGACGGAACCGGTTTGAACCAAACTGGTTTAAGGTTGAACCGGTTTTACTATTCACGAATCGGAACCGAACCGGTTTTCTAAACCAGTTCGGTTTGAAAAAAAAAACTGGTTTGCTCACCCCTACATGTAATAGTGATCGGAGATGAATTAGAATTTGAATAATTATCATGGTAAATGATCTCTCTCTCTCTCACTCTCTCTCATTGTGATCTTTTTATTCTTATTCTAATCAAAGTAGTTGCACAACCCTTATCACACAAAGCCTTCATATATAACTAATATCAAATCTAACATATCCCTCGTTCTTGACCTAAAATGACTCAACTACGACTCCATGGGATACATGTTCTCAACTCATTTTGATGGCTTCAATGCTCTTGATCACATCAACGAATCTTATGATGCACCAAACCAAAAAACAACCGATTTGGAATGGGACAAAGTGGACTTCATTGTAAAAAATATGGATCTACTCAACTATCTCCCAAACCCTATTCAAAATGGTGCTAAATAAGGACTCTACGGCTCGACGGGTAGAAAAACTCGATAGGCATTTTCACAATAACAAAAACATAAAGATCATGCAACTAGAAAATCTTGCCGCGTGTTTTTAGATATCTTACGGTTATAGCTTATTGCTCCAAAATTCAAGGAATAATCAATCTCTTAGAAAACCTTGAATCGGAATCCAAAGTATCGGATAAACACCTTGTCATATGCACCATAAACAAACTCTCTCCTCGTTTTCATTATGTAGCTAACATCATTAGGAACCAATTTTCATTGCCTTCATTCATCGAGACACGGTCGATTTGTTTACTAGAATAATGTATGGCACAATATTGTCCTTTACCAACATCACATGATGTCGATTATTCATCTTCCCCGGCCATTCTACATATCGGCTCTCAAGACTCGATCAAGGGAAACTGCAACCAAAACGACTGATGTCATCCTTCTCATGGTGGCGAACAACATTCTCAAACCATCACACATATGGTTGGGTTTATATCTATCCGCTACAGCTTTACCAACATGCTACTTCCTAGAAGTCTTATGCATGGGCTAATTTGTCTCAACGGCCTCCCCTGTCAATAGCTTCGCCACTAAGCCTAACAATCTGAACACGGGCATATGTGAATGGGTAATGGACACAGGCACAATCGATCATGTGTATGCCAATGGAATATTTCACTTTGTCCTTGATCATCATGATTTTCGTTCTATTTGAGTTAGAAATGGGTCCCAAATTCTTATAGCATAGACACATCCACTTTCTCGTATCAAATCATTATCACCCTTTTCACTTAAAAAACATCCTCATTACCCCCATCATTTATTAAAAACTTGATTTATGTTCGACAATTTACTCACCAAACAAATGTTCTATTGAATTTGACGAGTAATAATTTATTGTTAAGGATTACAGAAGCAAAATCCCTCTAATCCTTGTTACAGCCTCGACCCATTCTATCTTGTCGTTCCAACCTCTCGACGGGTTTTCTTGTCTTCGAGTACATCCTTATAATATCAATGGCTCGGTCATCCGGGGAATGAAGTCTTGAAATCTTTAGTTTTTAACAAGGCAATTTTATGTAATAAATGAAAATTTACTACTATGTTTAATGCTTCTCAATTTGTAAAACAAGTTAAATTTCTTTCGATATTTCCAATTTTATTGTTCATAGTTCTTTTGGTATAATATATTTAGACCTGTGGACATCTCATATTAGTAATGTTAGTGGTTTGCTGTAGTATGTCATTTTTATGGACAATTTCACACATTTTCTTTAGGTGTACCCTCAAAAACAAAAATATAAAGTTTTCTCCAAAATTCTTGAATTTTCCAATGTTTTAAAAACCAATTCGGGAGAACCATAAAAACTCTTCAATGTGGCAACAAGGGGATATAACAACAAACAATTTCATCATCATTTTTCCGTCAACGGAATTTAGTTCTATTTTCCGTGCCCTCACACACTCCAACAAAATAGGAAAGCTAAATGTATCGGGCAATCTCTTTTGTTCCAAGCTCATCTATCATCTACATATTATTAGGTTGAAGCATTCTATATGGCTACCCACATCCATTCAAAATGAAATTGTATATTATCGCTTATTCAACTTTAACCCAAAGTATACCCACCTTCGACTCTTCGACTGTCTTTTCTTTCCTCGTATAACCACTCAACAAAATTTGTCTCCCCGCACCTTACTGTGTATTTTCCTCGGATATTTGTCTCACCACCGTGTTGCGTTTTCTTAACAGTCATCCGGGCCCTTTGGACTTATCGAAATGTGTTGTTTTTTAGTCAACACATGGATCAGAAGCATTACATATTTGATAACATTGTTGCGTTTTCTTAGGAACGCTAATGCTAGAAAGAATTGGAATGCATGGATACAAAATTCAATTCAGCCTTAATATGTATTTTGCTTTTTGCTAGTGTCTAACTAGCTTACGTTTTAAATATCGTTGTCAAAAGTTACAAATAAAATCAAGTTATGTCAAAAAGAAACAATGTGTATAGCTATCGACATTAAGTGTTTAATTCATTCTAACTCATTACATAACAAAGAAACATCATTTTAATTATATATATATATATATATATATATATATATATATATATATATATATATATATATATATATATATATATACCTTAAAAAACATTTACTATGTTTTGCTGAATTTTAAGAGGTACAAGATATAATGCATTATGTACAAGGAATTTATACATTGCAGAATAATATGTCATATATTCGGTCAACAATTGAAAAGGTATTCCTCACTTCACTTTCAGCCCGTTAATTTGGAGTCTACGTTGAATCCTCATATTTAGGCAAAAAGATCTCTCTATTCTGGTCATGCTTCTCCTATATCTCTCTTCTGCTTATTTCAAGAATTGCAACTTCACCATCTCTCTTCAGCCGCGCTCACCATCTCTCAACATATTTCTCTCATTTTCTCTCCTGAAACCCTAAATTGAATGCTGCTATGACTAACTTCAACACCTTTATCAGCCATCGTCCTAACGATCAAATTCATCTCCATCATCGGTTAAGGAAACCAACCTCATTCTTTCTTCCCTAACCGGAAACCTTCACGTCTACTCAGCGACATCTCGACCACCGTCAAATCACACCCATCCCCAAATGATTCTCTCGCCTTATCTTGGTGATCTAGAAAATCCCTATCGATTGATGAATCACTTTATGTGTGTTTCAAATCTGTTACATTGTTTTTTTGTTTCAGGATAGAATCTTGAAAGAACAAGCCTTTGGTGGATGATGAATCTCTCAAATGCCCTTATTTGAATTTTCAAATTACGCTCTACATAGTATTGTCTCCTTCGATCACTATCTAGGTACTGTATCCTTTTCTTTCTCTTTTGTTTTTTCATATTTCTATTTCTTTTCTTTCCTCTATGTTACGATCATAATCACACAATGTTGTTAACTTATATTTTTATTAGATCTAATTATTGTAGAAGAAAAAGGATTGCAACGAACATCAAGTATGATTACCTTTGAGATTTGATTTACATTTTGTCAATGATGTTCAACTGATGAAGGGTTTAGATCTCTAATGTTTGTCAATCATTTTGATTTGTGTTTTTTTGTTCCCTTTTGATATTTCAAATCAAACCATTA